CATAGGGTAAAATTGTCCTCTTTGACAGTTTGATGTAAGAATTCCAAATGATTCAATGTTCTTAAGTGGCGGATGAATAAGAAGGTAAATGATTCATTTGACTAGTTGTATAAATTTGGAATTGCATGACAAAACAGGAATATATAAAAACTTAAAGATAATTCCAACAATATTGCAACACGTGGCCATGACTAAGTAGTAAGGTACCCTTTAGCTTTTTTATTTGTATCTCTCTTTGTTCTATCTTGTGATAGCTAAGGCTTGACATTGGTGCTTTGCCAATTCTCTGGGTAAAAATATACAGACATATGTGTGGTTCCCCAACAAAAAATGTCTCATTTACAAATCTGTCATATTCAGGCTTGTTAAGATATTGGCATGATTCTATTTTTATGATTTTTATTTCCTTATAAATATTGGAGGAAGTATTATATTATCAATTCTTTTGGCGGTAGCTCCATCTGTCGATAACAACAAAAGACAATTCTGAACCAGGACATAAGCTTATAAGGCGATGCAGACATGCATTTTAAAATTTAAATCAGCTAAGCTTCTTCTTTGAGTCTACCATTTGATGAAAATTAGTTTTATTTTGGCATTTCCTGTTTATTGAAAAATTTCTGTAATGTATGCATTGAATTAAAAATGTCTTAAAGATTTTGCCTTATACCACCTGGTTACTATAGGAACCAGAATCTCTATGATCACAACCTTGCTGATTGTTTATACAGATATGTAAATATTATACAATTTAATGGGCTGCTTCATGCAGGAATTGAAAAGAACTATAAATTCCTGCTGTGAGAAGGAGCATCTTCAAAAAGATGTACTGCTCAAAATATTATAATCTGATCTATTTCAAATTCCTTCATCACAAAGGATAAAACTTGACTGTCTGCAGTGGAAAAATTGGATTAATGTGCTGAGATTTCGTTGGTAATTTCATCCTTCTAATAGTGCTTATTGCAAAGTTGTTCTTTATTTTGCTTTTATTTAATCCTGTATCGTGACTGTTAATTGTAAATATGAATGATATAAGGAACCATGCAACTTCAGAATCTTAGATTTAATTAAAAATTAGTGAAAATATACAGTATTATGTTGTAGGAAACAAAATTGGCACCTATTATAATAGTGATATAGGGAAGGTTTTTGTTTGCTTTATTCATGCATGACTTTTTTCTGCTTTCACTGTAACTGTCTCAATCATTAATCTGAAATAGAGAGCAGCAAGACACAAACGATATGAATTGTTGGCCGATGTGAATTGTTGGCCGCCAACATCAGATTGTGCACAACTGTTCCACGCAGTTAAAGATTTGATGAATTTTGTAATTTGTACAAAAAGTATAGACTAGCAATCCTATAGGAAAGACAGCTTTAAGACAATTTTGATATAATTCACACAGTAATTTTCTGATTGCAAAGTAAATCATAGATATCAGACTAACTGATTTTGCTCATAATTTTCTCACTTGTTTTTGTACAATAGCTAAGTATATACTGGAGTCATAAAATTTTTACAAGCAGTTATTTCCTATGGGATGATGCTGGGCTTTCTTCTGCAATATTAATTAAAAGTTCAATTAATATAAAAGTATTACTACCATACTATATGAACAATCTCTTTGGAATCATGATAATTCATTTTCTTTTGATTTTGTCAGTGTGTCAAATTCAAAAGAAAAATGAAATCGATACAAATTTAATGGGAACAAATCTGCAGGAGATCGAAGAGTTTTAATCTGTTTTATAGGACCAGTCATTCATATAGTCTGATCATAGATGTATACATCTATGGTCTGATTGATATTCTGAGGACTTGTCCAAGTGCTGGTAGCACCTGCCTTCTTCTCCATAATAGAGCACTATACTGTTATATTTGAGTTTCTTTGATGTTTTGATTATGGTTTATTTTTGCTTTATAGTTATGTAATAAAAATAAAAGCATAGGATAATGAGATATGAATAAGAAAATTAATCATCATTTTCATTTTTATATTTATGTGAAATGTATTAAAAAAATAAAAATGAAACAGGACTGAGGCAATTGAAGATCCTATGTTGTCCTTACAGAAGAAAAATAGATGTTTACATGTAATGGATCAGAATAAACATATGAAGACTAAAGTCAACATGCAGAATACAAAGCCATGAGGACAATAAAAAACATGTCATCTTTTTTTTTAAACAGATGTCTGACCTTATCTTAGTACATCATCATAGATGTGTAGCATATGTCCACTTGATAGAGAATAGTCTCTTGTCCATGTGTTGTCATAGATAATTTGTTCATAACAGTTTATGGAACCAGATGCTTTGTGGAGAAAAATATTAAATAGGGGAAAATCAATAAAAAATTAAATTTTTTCCTGATGAACACTGTTAAAGGTTTTTTCTGGTAATTGCATATTAAAGTTAAACCTGTATTTCAAACATTTGTTGTTTGTTTAGTTATACATGTTACTTCGTATGGATGCTTTTCAAGTCAACAAGTGAACAAAACTGCAGGTTTCTTTGACAGGACAGATTTTGGATATATTGCAATAACAACAGATTTTACAAATAGCATAGATTTGAAAAAGAGACCGAATAAAGGTCATTGGAGAAAGGTACAGACAAAATGATGGACAATATTGAAGATTAGTAACTTGTGAAATTTGACTCGCTGCACACTTTTGTAATTAGCATGAGACTGAATGCTGTGGTCAAATGTCAATCTTGACATGACATAATAGAAGTAAAAGACATATTAAACATAGCTGCAAAATAGACTTGAAATGACATATACTACTCTTACATATGGTATACCATAGATATAATAGCCATAGATAAAGTACTCAGAATTTGTCACACTGAGCCCCATGTAGTTTCCTTTGAAATATCAAAAGCAGGGCACTGCACGTAGTGCCTATGATGTAGATGATAATTGCCGACATCCTCCCAATAGACTAATTACTTATCAAAATTATATTTAAATTATCGGGCACTCGTCTTATCAACCGATAATTAATATACGTTACCTGTCTCAAGTAATAATATGCCGTGATGCGGAAGCAATATAAAGCGTCTGGTTGTAAAAGTTGTTCGGATTGTAATTTATTTGGAGAAAATCGGTCAACAAATGAAAAGGTTATGCTGTTGTTGAAAAAATAAAATGGAGAAATCATGGAAAAACAGGCATGTAAAATTAAATTGTCATAGCACTTGCATTGGTTGCACTCGGAAAATAAGACCTGTATGATTGACAAGAGGAGACATATTGTTTACTGATGGTATATGTGGTTCAGAGGTCGAACCTGGTCGAATTTTCTATGGCGAGTTAAAGAAATTTCTTTTTTATCGAGATTCCAAATAGTGTAATCATATTTTATGCCAGAAAGAAGAAATTATTATTTTTTAGAAAAGAAAAAAGATTTTTACAAGTGTTTAAACTTTCTGTCGTAACACGAAGTTTTAGAAAATAAAGAGAAAAAAAGGAATACATTATAAACTTATTAAACGCCGTTTGGTGAAGAAAACGTATGTAGTGGACACACTGAATACATTAAATAATTGGGAAATAGCACAATCATGTCTTTGAATTTGTTTCTTCTATATACCTTTCCGCTTACCATTTTTGTGCTTGTTTTGCTATTAAATAGACGGTGGTATAATCTGATTGTCGATTTCATTTTTGAAGTAAACAATATATAGATTAAGCGTTATAATGGCTATGATAAAATGAAAATATAGGAGTTTTGTCCTGTGTCATTCATGGTTTTTTCCTCTTCCTTCTTACAATTGTGTTAGAGGTGTGATTCGTACTTTTAATACAGCTATATATCCCTTCCGACGCGGGACGTTTGTGCTTTTTTAAATGGACATTTGCGCTTTTTATATAGGACATTTGCGCTTTTTATATAGGACATTTGCGCTTTTACAATATTTACTTCTCATGACTTCCCTCCTATTTTATCTGAGCTTTGGACCTGGCAGAGTTAAAAAAAAAAGTCGTTTTTTATTATAGTTAAAAGTCATTACGTAGCACATTCGTGTGTTTAAAAGTCTCCCGATTCACAATTTATTAGATGTCGATCGACGGCAATTGCCAATGAAGGCTAATTAACACCAAGCGTGACATGTATATAATAAGAGGGTGATAAAATTTCGGCAAATATCATCTGCTTTTGATGTGGGTCCAGTACTTTATCTATGGCTATTATATCTATGGGTATACCGACCATTTTACATGAACTGTCTGATTCTACCTGTAGATATTTGATAACAGGCATTGCTGCAAGTTGTTGTTACATAACACATCAAATTTCTTTCTTTTATTTTGGTTTATAAATGATGAATGTACATTTAAAATAAATAAGTGGTGATAGTTAATTACCAAAGATATCTCTAGAAAGGGGAAATAAATCTTGCATGTAGGAAATAATCTTGATAGGATCATACTGTATCACCTGCCAACAGTTGCTATTATTCTAATGTTAAAATGCAGAAAATAAATTGTGATGTCATTCATAGACATAATCAAGACAGTAGAACATAAGATTGACATGCAAAAACTAGTTGCTTGTCTGTCTACTTTTCTTATTGTGAAGGAAAATAATGTAAAAAAAAAATCAGTATTAGTTGCATTAATCAAATGATATATAGAGAGAAGCAGTGAACTGTGATTGTGAAATATGGTTATATAAGCACCCTGCTAACAGAGGTCATTGATTTTTTGTTGAATGTCACAGAAATTTGCATAATTTTACATCAAGCTTTGTCAGTATGTTTAAAAAAGCTGACAGGTAATGGTGGATGTTGTTGTACTGTATTGTCATATTGGTATGTAATGCAAATAAAAATGATGAGGAAGAAAAGCTCAGGTATAAATAAGTTTTCTCAAGAGTTCTAATTTTTTGTAGCTTCAAAGTTAAAATTAAAAGGCAGTTGTCATTGTTTTTTATCCATTTACCTATTTGACACTTTGTATATATATCTATTGTTTTTTGTCTTTTTAGGTCAATGGCCAAGATCTTTCACAGTCAAGTCACGACGAAGCAGTCGAAGCATTCAGAACAGCCAAAGAACCTATAGTCGTGGAGGTTTTACGAAGGGAAAATAAAAATAAAATGAAATCACGAACTCCTACTATGGTATCCATAGGAACACAAACAGAAGAAGAAATTTATGGATTTATTCGACCTCCAACTCCTCCCATGTATGGACTAAATTCAAATCTGTAAGTTCATTTACATTCACATTATTTAAGAATAAAGCACAGTTAGTTCCATGGTATTAGTTGGTTTGTGAGTCTGGAAGAAAGGCTTAATTTTGTGTGACTAAAATGCTATGTAAATATATTTATTCATAAGGTGTCAATTTTCAGGGATTTCGTTGTTTGTTCAGACCACAAAATTAGCGTAATAACCAAATAGATGTAGTCGCAGCCCTTTGATTTTTTTGTGCAAAGACAATCTTCAAATGTACTTAAAAACCTGTCAGGAAACAGAGATTTGTAATCCAGGGAAATGGCATCCATAAATAGAAATCCTTCATCAGTAGTTTCACTTGTAAAAGATTACTGGACATAGCAGAGATTTATTGTTAACACTTAGAAAAAAAAACTTACAAACAACAAGCTTTATAACTATTTTTCAAAAATGTAGGATAAAATGATGAAAATTATTGCTGGGATTTTTCTGGCCATTGTTAGATTAAATGATCAGCAATTTTACTATTTTGGCGGGTAATTGAATATTAATTGGTTATAATCATTTTTGACAGAAAATTATAATAATTCAAATAGCTGCTATTCAAATTACTTACTTATTTGGCTGACAGCTTAAACTGTGTTACATTTGATTTTACATATAAAAAGAACTGGAAAATAGATGTAAATTATTTTCAAAACAAGTTTGACATTTTGAAGTGCATGTCATGTGGAGTCAAAGTGGTTAATTGGTAAGTGGCCAGTAAGTGAAGTATATTAGTCCGTGCCAGTCACTTAACATTCAAGACCATTGTTGCTTTGATTTTTGACTGTCTCCTTCATTTTAGTTGTTAAAAGGACATACCTTTTTCTACTTTTTATACTGCCGTCAGACTTAATGTTGTGAATTTCAGTGATCCCATGAGGTGAAATGATTCAGTTTCCAGTCTAGTTCAAATCTTTTATTGTCAGTTTCCTTGAGTGGAATAACTTTGTTTTTATTATCAACCCCCTTGGTTGTGGTTTTGTGTGATCGGTCATGCCTTGCTGAAGACTTATGATATACTAAAATGTACCTGAAAAGCAGCTGTTGGGTTTCAAAATAATATATATTAGTAAATATATATCACATTAGATAATTCATATATCAAAAAACCGTTGACACATATATTTTTCATTTACTTTATTAATGTTGTGATATTTTATATAACATCTGCAAATTTATTTTCGTGAGACTGTAGGCAGACATTTTTTGTCAGTTGTCTTCCACTTGAAGTTTTTGTCATTTTTCACTGATCTTGAACAAATATTTTCCACATGATGAATTGATGGTACATAATATAAATGATACTACAATTAATTATCAAATAAATAATAGATTTAGAGGAAACGCATAGTGCATCTGGTTCCAGAGCTTTATTTATAACACTAGATATAGAAAGGTTTGTTAGGTAATTGACTTGCATTAATGAAGTGTTTGTTTAGCACTGTGCAGGTTTTTTTTGGTGTGTTTTACTTGGTATAGATAGGCAAAGCGGGAGTGTTTGTGCACACATCAAACTAGTTTAACCACACCACATTTTGTGCCTGTACTATCTGGATCATTTGTTATTTATTGATTGTTTGTCTGTTTGTACTTTTGTTCCAGAGGAGTCCAGGCGTTAGTGGTTGGTATGGTCTGTTGTACTGTTCTATATTTTTGGTAATTCCTGATATATCTTATATAAAATTGAGAATGGAAATGGGGAATGTGTCAAAAAGACAACAACCCGACCAAAGAGCAGAAAACAGCCCAAGGCCACCAATGGGTCTTCAACACAGCGAGAAAATCCCCCACCCAGAGTGGGGCTTCAGCTGGCCCCTAAACAAAATGTGTACTAGTTCAGTGAAAATGGACGTCACACTAAACTTCGAAACATATAAATAAACAAACATTTTTTTAAAAATCCGGGACTAACAAAGGCCAGAGGCTCCTGACTTGGGACAGGTGCAAAAATGCAGTGAGGTTAAACATGTTTTGTGAGATCTCAACCTTCCCTTTATACCTATAGCCAATGTAGAATAAACAAACGCACAGCAATACGCACAGTAAAACTCAGTTTAAAAGTAGTTTGAGTATGATGTTAGAATAGGTAACAGAAGAAACTAAGCAAAATGAAAATGTTACATAAATTAACAAAGGACTACTAGCAGTTACTGACATGTTACTTAAGATCTATATGTATTGTGATGTGCATTTACAATGAATAAGATAGTTAAAAGGGGCATTATGTTTTCCAGTTTATGTGCTCGTCTGTCCACTTGTCCCTTTGTCTGTCTGACAAAGTTTCTGTTTAAGGTAATTTGTGGTCCCATCAACTTGAAACAGAGTACAAATGTTCATTCACTATGAAGTGAATTTAAAAGTTGTATATGCCACATTTGGATTTTAACTTAAATTTTTGGTTCGTTGAACGTGGAAATGTGGCGATGCTAGTGGGGCATGGTGTCCTATGGATACATTTTCTTAATTTTCCTTTTTCGTAATTCTAGAAGTACAAGTCTTGTAGCTGAGATGATGTATCTATCTCTGCTTGTAACTGTGGTATTTAACTCCCGCTAGATTTGAATGTTTTTGTGAAAGTTTAAATTGATGAATTGTGTACAAAGTCATAGATGATTAAGGAAACCAGAGTTTACAAAGTATACCAAAGACCTAAAAATAGATGGTGAAGTCAATGACATAATCTTAGTATGAGTGCAGCTAGGTTACCATTGTTTCAACTTGATGTCTTATAAGTGTTTATATGTTGAATAGTACTGTGATAGATAGATAGATAAGAAAAAACTTCCATAAACTTAAGGTCTGACTGTTTCTCTCAATGGGATTCTTTATACCAGCAAGTCCAATCTTTCTTAGACTAAATAGGTTGCTGCTGGTTTTGCCCATATATTTCATATATTTTTTTAACTTTCCATAAGTGTTTTTGGTGTATGCCCTAACAAGTGTCGGGCTTTTTGACTGAAAATGGATTGTGTTCATTATTTTGACTGAAAATGGATTGTGTTCATTATTTTAACAGCAAATGCAGGTTTAAAAATCAGTATACAAGTATTATATTACAAAAAAATGAACTCTTAAAAAGTGTAGCAGAGCATATGCTTCTAGTTTAGCTGACTTTGCACTTTCACATGTATTGTTTGTAATTAGTTCTAGCATACACAGACAGATTTAACCTAGCAAGGAAGTTATCCATCTTCTACAAATGATACATATCAAAAGTTTAATGTATAATCAAATTTCTGAACTATTAATATAGTTTACTACCTTCCATTACATTTCTTATTTATCAGACAGCTGTAACATTTCTGTCAGACTTATTTTTGATCCATGAAGTCTAAAAATACCATTGTTGATGATCAAGGTCATGTTCTTCTGACTTTGTGACTGGAGTTCCGGTGCATATTCCCAAAACATATATAATAATCTATATTTTTGAGAATTTTTTCGATGGCCAAACATTGTTTTTGAATGGTTTGGGCACATATCTTTATTCTTTTATTACTTGTACACTGTAGAACAGAAATAAACCAAACTATCAAACACATAATCCCTTGACGGAACTTATTTTGGCAACTCTTATTGTAATTTTTATTCAAATTTATATATATGATGTTCCTCAACTAAAACGGGACTTCCAGTTTTATTCAATAGGAAACAAAAATGTGCTTGGCTACATCTCCCATAAAAGAAAGCAGTTGAATGATTAGCTGCAGTGTGGAAGAATCTCTTTTGAGTCTTGTTTTTTCTAATTGAAATTCAGTGAAGTTGAAAAAGAGATATAGAAAATGCCCTAAATTTTACTAAATGTCAGTCCATTTGTGGTTCCATCTGCAGCACTTGTAGGCACTTCAGAATTATTACATTTGTACCTTTTTCCATGTGCATGACACAATGCATCTGGAATTATTGTCATACGGTAATATGTTCTGGACCAAAGTCAAAAATATGAAAATGTAAGCAGATCCTTAAAAAATAATAAAATTAGTTTGGTGTTGCATAATATTTTTATCAATCACAGCATGTTGGTAAAACATTGATAGTGGCATTGTAACAGTTTTACTTTTTATAAGCAAATTCTGACAGCAGGACTATATGATAAGTATCAAACTTCATGTGGGGTTTAAATCACAAGGGGTATAAAGCACACCCTACAAGGTCATTCAAATTATTTATCGTTAATTGATCTCTCTGATACCGGTAATGACATTTAAAAATGGAACTTTGTCCACAGAAGAAAAATTCCCTTTCAAAGCTTCTCTATAGCTTTTATGAAGGAAATGTTAATTGAAGCAAAGGGTTCATTAATTAATTATGACAAGTCTCACAGAAAGAAGACAGTTCTATTATTTTAGGAGAAAAGTCAATACTATTAAAATGCCATGTGACAGTCTTGGAAGTATGACTAAGACTATGGTGTCAGTTTCACAGGGGATTATCTTTGGTGTATCAACTTTCATTGAAGGTGCTAGAATGTGACATAGGCCTAATGTGAGAAGACGTATATCTTAACTTGTCAACCTTTCAATGTCTTTTGACAGTCTTCACTGAGTCAGTAGTAGTTAAAAGTTATTCACTTCTGTCAATTTATTTTGTATGGAATTGATTAGATACATAACCACATTCTCTTTTTGAATAAAAATATCACATCTCTCAGTGAAGCAGTTACTTCCTCATGTAAAGATTTTTGTATTAAAACTAATTACTAATGATTAATTGGGGTATTACTGCCGACAATTATTAATTTCCCCTTTATACCATCTTACACCCAAATCTGTCAAAATTCATTTGGAATGTATTAGAGAGGTATTAACTCCCCATAGAAATAAATTTCTACTATATTGTACATGTGAAGTTTGGAATTACTAGATAATTATTAACCCATCCCTCACAGTTTGAAGTTTGGCATCAAAAGATGTTGTAACTTATTGGTAAGTATCTTCAAGTTACCATAGTTACATGAATTGTGAAAACATATGCTGCTACAATC